TCACAGACCCAGAAATGCATAGATGGGTGGGCAGTAGAAAGGAGCAGCATCCCTCCCTGAGGACAAAAGAGGAAGAAGAATAGCAAGAAGATAGCTCTTGACTACCTGATGGCATTAACCGCATGATAATAAACTTCTTTCTCCAAAGGAATAAAGGGGGCAGGCCCGCAACAAGGCGTCGATCAAGGTAAAGGGATTTGGGGGGTGGGGTAATAGAAAGCTGCATTTCCGATCAAGTCTCACTCTCTCCAAACAATAACTAACTCCGCAACCTGAAAGATACACAACCCTTTAAAAAGAACAACAGAAATGACAACTAAAAAACACATGTGAAGGTGTAAGCAATCCACACTACGAATGGATCGTTTTCAACTCCCATAGGATCGGCGAAGGGGATGGACAAGCAAAGCATGGATTGGGCGACCAGTAAAATTATCACCGGAAAATTACCATCCTTTATGATTCAGCAGCTGTTTCCTTCTTGTCTTCAGTGGAGGCGGGAGCCGCTGGTTCGTCGGTGGTAGCGCTAGTCTCGGCGGGCTTCTCCTCGGAAGCCGCGTCGGTGGTAGTTGGTTCTGCCTCACCGCCGTCAGACGACGTCCAGAGAGTGAGGTTATCACGCAACAGCTGCATGATCAAAGTGCTGTCACGATAGGATTCCTCGGACAGAGAGTCGAGCTCCGCAATGGCATCGTCGAAAGCCTGCTTGGCAAGATGGCAAGCCCGATCAGGAGAGTTGACAATCTCATAGTAGAAGACTGAAAGGTTGAGGGCAAGGCCAAGGCGGATGGGGTGAGTAGGGGTCAACTCGGATTGGGCAACATCGGTAGCATTCTAGGGGGGTGCCCAACGCGAGTTTAGTAGAGCATACAAAACGGTGTTGCAGACGACAGAATCAAGCTGTGGAGTAATACCTTGTAGGCCTCGTGGGCATTGGTGGCTGCAACCTTCCGCTTGTTACCAGAGGCGAACTCGGCGAGGTAGCGGTAGTAATCTCCCTTCCTATAGAATCATTGAGCTCAGCGCATTTGCTCACAGTACACTCCAATCAGCATCGAGGTTCGAGGGCAACGCACATCTTGTAGTAGAAGACCTTGGACTCGCCGGTTTCAGCCTTGGGGATCAGGTTGTTGTCCAAGACCTCGAGGACGTCCTGGCAAACACGCTCGAGTTCTTCTTCGATCTTCTCGCGGTATTCCCTGATGGTGGCAACATGTTTATCAGAGCCTTTAGATTCCTCCTTTTGCTCGATAGACGAGATGATACGCCACGAGGCACGGCGGGTGCCGACAACATTCTTGTACGCGACGGAAAGGAGGTTGCGCTCATCGACAGTGAGTTCACCCCCGAGCTAGCGTGAAATTTAGTACAGGGCGTACTCCTCTGCCGGGTCACGCGACATTTTCACAGCGGCAAACATCGAGGGAACTTACGCTGGCGACCTCCTGTAGAAAAAGAGTCAGCCCCTGAATTATCTCACCATACTGAACATCATATAGAGTGTAACAAACCTTCATATAGGTGACCATTTCTATAATCCAAGTCAGCGCTCCATTCCTGCACGTTCCCCTGTGGCCTGGATCTGCTTACCATCATAACGCTCAGCCTGCTCGCAGAGGCGGGCGAGAAAGGTCTTGCTGCATGGATGTGAGCAGAGGATAGTTGAAGGACCATGCGCACAGGATTGGAAAAACCTACTTCTCACGCTGCTCAAGACAACATCATTAGTACTGTCAGTGCACAGCAATGCCGAGAGAGAGCAACACAAAGAAGAACAAGAGTGGAGGGTCGCTGGTGCTGGGGCCGGAACCGCTGGCAAACCAACCTGAGGAGAGGGGTAAACATACTTCAGAAGTCATTTTTCCGTGAGTGTTGTAATGATTGAAGGGTCAACAACAAATGAGGGGATGCTGGGAATACTGATGATTGGGAAAGAAGAGGAAAAGAAAATTGTTTGCTAGAAGAGGGGGTGCTGGTATGGTTGACCGTGCAGGTGGGTTGAAACAGTTGATTGTCCTGCCTGGAGGAGAGGAGTGAGAGGGAGCGAGGGAGCGAGTTGAAGGGGTTTGGATTTAGCGAGTCCTTGTTGTTGAGTGATGCGAGGGAACAACAACAACACTAACAAACTGGTTAAGGCTGCTGTTGTCCACCAGTGGCTTGCTATGCCGTGCCTCTCCTGTGACAAACCTCTCTCTCATTTAGCAAACATTCTTTTTCTTTGCTTTTCACGCCAAAGGGTGAAAAAATTTCATTTGTTAGCCATATTTTCTTTTTCTTCTTCTTTTTTTACGCTTTTTCTTTTTTTTCCCCTTTGAACTCACTCGCTCTGATTCCGGCGGCAAAACCCACCACAACATTTTTATTTCCCGCCCCTCACTTTGGATGGCTGGCGATACGCGCCATTGACCCAGCCTGGGCCGGAGTGACATGATTCCGCTAGAATGGAGCCAAAAAACAAAAAAAAGGTACAGGTCATGATATTTCCGCTTCACTATCTAGATCCTTACAAGCAAACTTTGACAGCCAAAAACAGCGGCAAAGCCAGTGATTGATGCAAAAGAAAACCACCACAAGGTCCACAACAAAGGCATTGACTGTCCTAATACCCATGATGGTTAAGTAGAATCAGAAATGAGAGAGCATATTTTGGAATTATGATACCTAGAAAATAATTGCATGGTACCGAGTGGATGAAGACTGACAGGTGAACTGCCTGACGCTGACCCTGGCAATCTTGTCCATGTCGCGTCCTACCGTGAATCTGGCTCCATCTGTTCTACGGAACACAAAAATTGAAAAGGACCGGCAGCCAGTGGATCGCCTGTATATCTCCAGACATGGAATCGCCAATGGAGTTTTCATGGCAGAGGCTTCCTTTCTTCCGCAGCACCTAACTCCATCCCTGGTTCGCGCGGTGGAAGGGGGGCTTGCTCCTGGAGATCAAATCTTTCCACCATTCGACTTCTCCTTCTCCTCATCTCCAACCTCGTCACGATGCAGCATCTTCAAGTCGATGGACGAGGACAAGAAAGACCTATTTAGAAATACCACGTAGATACTCCTATGTAGGTACATCCATTTCTGTGTTCATACTACGTAGCCAGCCTAATGTAACTGCAAAGGAGCCTGGGAAGGGGTATAATGAGCCTCACATATGGTTGAGTGGTGCAAACAATGCCACCCACGACACGCCATTGTGCAGTACAGTAACTATGGTCTCATCCATAGACGGGCAAACCGGGAAGTATACTCCGTACATCCAAGGGGGAACCTAGCTAGGTCTGATTACAAGGGAAAAACTTGCTTTGTGTCGCTCTAAAACGTTTTATATTAAAGATCTTCAAATCGTATATACCTGGAGGAATGGGTCATTCCCGCAGACGAGCTAGTGATCTGAATAGTTACCAATTTTTGTTGCGTGCGCGAAATTCTAAATTGCCATGCCATGCCATGCCCATACTACTAGCCTGCTGTAGAATAACGAAACGAAATCTTCGAGATAAACAATAACCCAAGCAAACACGTCTTTGGAATCGAGTAAGGGTATGGTGGTGGAGGGAAATGGAAATGGGAAAAAGAAAAGAAGAAAAAAAAAGAAAAAAAATTAAGGGAGGGGGCATCACATAAAGTCATCATCGTCCAGCTCATCGCCATCGTACGCTGTGAGATCCGCGCGGTTCGAGTGAGTGGTGACGAGACTTGTCTTGGTCTTGGCTGCCTTGCTCTTCTTCCCGCCCTTGTCAGCGGCCTTTTCCTCTTTGAGTTTCTCGTTGCTAGCGGCGGTCAAAGCGCTTGCCACCTTCTTGATTTCCGAACTGGGGAGCTCCTTTACAAGCTGCTTCGTAAACTCTTGGACCCAGATAGAGTATTGCGGCTTCTTGGATTGGGCGGCTAGTAGAGGAGCGAGGGTCTCTGTGAGAGTGGTGAACTGCGCCTTGGTTCCCGGCTTGAAGAGCGGCATGGCAGAGATATCGACAGATTTGGTAGGGTCATTCGGGTCAGAAATGACGGTCGCCTTGGGCGCTGACCGGTTCCGGTTGAGATCGATATCGCCGATAAGATCCTGCGCGTGCTTCAGATCGGACTCCTTCTCCGTCCGTCTCAGCCGCGCCCGCTGTTCCGCAGCATCTTCCTCCTCGCTCGATTCTTCCTCGTCAAGGGCGCGCCGGGCTTTATGTTCTGCTATTCTTTGCGCTTTTGATTTCCTCTGCGCGGCGGCTTCAGCTTCAGCCTTGGCTTTAGCTGCAGCTGCTTTTGCTTCCTTCTCTCGCTCGACTTCCGAATCTTCGGCGGCGTCCCAGGAATCTAGAACCTATGTCGCAGAGAACAAAGATATCAACATCATCCCATATGTTTTCGTGAGAAGAAAAAGAATCTTGAGATGAAAGGCCGAACACTCCCATACCTCGTCACTATCTTCCTCATCGTCAAACTTGCGTCTTGCCACGAATGGCGGCGGGGTGGAAGGAGGTGTGCTCTCCTCTTCATCGTCTATGAGGGTTCCAAAACATGATCAATTAGATATCTATCTGAAAGTCTGGCCAGCGTCTTCCACGGGCTGTCCTGGTCGTCGACAATCCCTTACTCAAAGGGAGAAAACTTACCCCACTTTGAAGGCGCCATGGTCTGAGAAATTTGCAGGGTAAAGGGTCGATTTAAATTGTAGTGTCAAGACAAAACAGTGTGTATTTATTAAGAGAGCTGTAGGGCTACAGGCTGATGGAACTCCAACGGGGACGACGCGCAAGTCAAGTAGAACGAAACCAGTGGCCGCCTTTCCTCCTTTCCTGAACTCTTTCTTTTTTTCACGGTTTTGTGAAATTACATGGTCAAGGCTGATTGGCGGGGCAAAAATTTCTTTGGAGAGAAACTCGGCAGCGGAAGAATATAAATCCAGTCCTACATTGTCAAGGTTTGGAACCTTCTGCGCGCGGGATGATGATGGGACATTGCTAAGGATAGGATGGAGGCTATGGAGCAGGAGATGTTAAGAGACATGCTTCAAATGTTGTGAGGCTTCAATTTCCTAATTCAAAGGCAAAAGATGCTCCTTATTTTGATACAAATTCTTAGCTATTTCGCGGATGTACTCCGTATTGACTATCGGATTTCGATTCGATTCGTTCTTTTCCGTCCTTTATCTTTTTTATTTTTTCTTTTCCTTTTCTTACAGGTTTACTGCAGTGCGGAAGTTCTCTCCAGCATAGACAGCGCTGGAACCAAGCTCTTCCTCGATGCGGAGGATCTGGTTCAGCTTGGCAAGACGCTCGGACCGGGCAGGGGCGCCAGTCTTGATCTGGCCAGAGCGCAGTCCGACGACAATGTCGGCAATGGTGACGTCCTCGGTCTCACCGGAACGGTGAGATACCATCACACCCCAGCCGTCAGCGTACGAGTCCTTCGCGGCCTGGATGGATTCGGTCAAGGTGCCGATCTGGTTCACTTTGAGCAACAGAGCATTGCATGCCTTGAGGTCAATGGCCTTCTTGATGCGGATGGGGTTGGTGACAGTAAGGTCATCCCTACATTTCTTCTTGTTAGTTGCTAAACACAGCCATGGGGCACGGGCATGATCACATACGCGACGATTTGAATGTTAGAGGTCTTGAAGAAGTAGCTCCACGCCTCCCAGTCGTCTTCGGCGAAGGGATCCTCAATGCTGACGATGTCGTACTTGCTGGCCAACTTCTTATAGAGATCGCTGAGCTCCTCATATGTGACCCACTTGCTCTTATCGCTGTTAGGGTTTTTGAAGTCAAGGTCGTATTTCTTCTCCTCCGGCTTGTAGAACTCGCTGGATGCAACGTCGAGGGCAATTTTCACCTTGCCGGTATAACCTGCCTGCTCGATGGCCTCGGCGATCAAGTCGAGAGCTTCCTCGGGAGTTTGGATATCGGGAGCGACACCACCCTCGTCACCAACATTGCCAGCAGACTGGCCATATTTGGACTTGGCAAGTGCCTTGAGCTTGTGGTAGACTTCGGAGCCCTGGCGAAGGGCCTCAGAGAAAGAAGGGGCGGCACTACTAGGTCAGGATTGTATTCGGAGAAATCGACTGGGTGCCTTTTTCGGTCCTAACTTACGATGGAACAATCATGAATTCCTGGAAGGCAAGGCGGCCACCAGCATGGGAACCCCCGTTGAGGACATTCTGGAATGGTACGGGAAGGACGTATGGCTTCTTGGTCCCGGCAAGATCGGAGACGTGCGCGTAAAGTGGAACGCCCTTCTCAGCAGCACCAGCCTTTGCGATAGCCAGACTGACACCAAGGATGGCGTTGGCACCAAGGTTGGACTTGTTGGCGGTACCATCGAGCTTGTTCAAGAATTCGTCGACCTTGGATTGGTCCTTCACGTCAATGTTCTCCTTGATGACGGCGGGGCCAATGACCTCGTTGACGTTCTTGACAGCCTTCAAGACACCTGGGTTCGAATTGGATGATCGTCAAAATGCAGCTTCCCACATGGATTGCGGGATATACTCACCCTTTCCGAGCCAGTGAGTCTTGTCACCATCACGGAGCTCACAAGCCTCATGCTGACCTATTGATGGACGTGTCAGCCGATTGTGCGTAGACGTGAGACCGTAATTTTCTTGGGTTCATGGGGGTCTGGAAGCATCAAGTCTACTACTCACCAGTGGAGGCGCCGGATGGAACAATGGCACGGTGAAGGCCAGTCTCAGTGACGACGTCGACCTCGACTGTGGGGTTGCCACGGGAGTCGTAGACCGATCTAGCGTGGATCTTTGTGATCGCCATCCTGGGATGAAGGTTAACGTTGGAATTTGACGATGAGAGCAGCCTTGATTAGTGAAATGGTCGTGAGATTCTGAGCACAAGCGAAGAATTGGAAAGTGGTGTGTGTTGTGTTCTGTTGAGGCCTTTTCAGACCCTTCTTCACCGAACGGCCGAAAAAGTCCAAGCTTTCAACAGCAGCCTCTTGAAGCAAACACCACTCAAGTGACGCTTTCTCTTTTTTTGAGACTTTTAAGGATGTACTGGAACAACAATTTGATCGTGGTAACGGTGGCTTCGATTGAGTATATTTGAGCGGGCTACAGAGGAGAGATGTGGGAGAGGCGAGGGCGGGGCTGAGGGGCACAAAACGCAGGAGGTAGTGAAGAGGGAGGTAGGCGTCAACAGTTGTGGCTGTGAGGGAAAAGAGACTTACTTGAGGTATTACTTGCGATGTGGTAGGTGGGAAGGAGTTGAAGGTATCAATTGGGGGAGATCTGGTGCCAATTGCAAAGCGAGATGAGATTGAGGGAAACTGAGGGAGAGAGAGAAGAGAAGGGAGAAGTTGTCTCTGGATGATGAGCAGATCTATGATGAAAGACGACCAATTACCTAATGATGTTATGATTTTCGCCGCAAGCCGGGACAAGTCTTTCTCGTCGACAGAATACAGCCCCTCCAAAAGTCCAAGGCGGTTTGGCGGGACATCGCGAGAGGCATTGCCCCGATGCCAGCCAATTAGCTGGCCCGCAAGGTGGCTCCGGGATATTCCAGGTCCCCAGTACGGAGTAATTACGGAGCATATCTGCCCTGTAGGATCCAATGTGCCTGTTACGAAGTACGTATGCATGGGTACGGGCATTCAACTTCGCGAGCCAAAAAAGGTTTGTGGGCGGGGTGTGTTGGCGGTTGATGGCATCATCGTCGTTTGGATCGCCTTCTCTGGCCGCCCTGAGGTACTCGAAGCTTAACCGTCTTTGGTCTAGATAGGTACCGGAGGCACCTGACTTTACCGTCACGGAACAATATTGTGCCGCGTTACGGAGTACAAACATAGCAAACATGCTCGAAATTTATTATATAATTTTCTATCACGTGAGTGAACATTTTTGAGACCCGGGTGGTTTGCTCTGTTTGCAGGATTTTGGGGCTGGAGCTGGCTGGGGCGCAACTTGAAGCTCCGTGGCGCGAGCAGGCAGTCCCCGTCCCAACGTCAGCATCCCAGAGCTGCCGGGTGTATGTACGGTCCTGTGTCCAAAGCCGGTAGTTTGACTTTGCTCCCCCGAACACATCCCACGGATTGACTTCCCCCTTTTGAGAGTGCCTATTCATCGAGCGCACCTCTTCCCACCTCCTGCATCGCCTGTTCAGCTTGAGATCACCATGACCACTGCCAATGACCCAGAGCGCCAGCAGGCCCTTGAAGATTACAAGAAGGCCCTGCTAGAGTCGAGAGAATGGGAGGCTAAGCTGAAAGCCCTTCGGTTGGGTATCAAAGATTTGCAGAAGGAGTTTGACCAGACAGAGGAAAATATCAAGGCGCTACAGAGTGTCGGACAGATCATCGGAGAGGTTCTCAAGCAGCTGGATGAGGAGAGATGTGAGTTGACACCTCTATATGTATCTCGTCCTCGACTGGGCCTTCCGTGTCGCTGACTTTAGTGCAGTTATCGTCAAGGCTTCCTCCGGTCCTAGATACGTCGTCGGATGCCGGTCCAAAGTAGACAAATCGAAGCTCAAGCAAGGAACCCGCGTCGCTCTCGACATGACAACCCTCACCATCATGCGCATGCTGCCTCGCGAAGTCGATCCCCTCGTCTACAACATGTCGTTGGAAGATCCCGGCCAGGTTAACTTTGCTGGTATTGGTGGCTTGAACGACCAGATTCGCGAGCTGAGAGAGGTCATCGAGCTGCCCCTCAAGAACCCGGAGCTTTTCATGCGAGTGGGGATAAAGCCTCCCAAGGGTGTTCTGCTGTATGGGCCCCCGGGAACAGGGAAGACGCTCCTGGCCAGAGCCGTCGCCAGCTCCCTGGAAACCAACTTTTTAAAAGGTGGGCTATCAGGTTTATACTGCTGCTTTTTTGTAAACCGTGCTAAACTCTAGCTCAGTCGTCTCCTCTGCTATCGTTGACAAGTACATTGGCGAGTCTGCCCGATTAATTCGAGAGATGTTCGGCTACGCCAAAGAGCACGAACCATGCATCATCTTTATGGACGAAATCGATGCCATCGGAGGGAGAAGATTCTCGGAGGGAACCTCTGCCGACAGAGAAATTCAACGTACACTGATGGAGCTCCTCAATCAACTGGATGGATTCGACTACCTTGGAAAGACAAAGATCATCATGGCCACAAACAGACCGGACACTCTAGACCCGGCCCTTCTTCGTGCTGGGCGCCTTGATCGAAAGATTGAAATCCCCCTGCCCAATGAAGTGGGTCGATTGGAGATCTTAAAGATTCATTCTAGCGGAGTGGCCATAGAGGGCGAAATTGACTTTGAAACTGTCGTCAAAATGAGCGATGGCTTGAATGGCGCTGACCTACGAAACGTGGTAACAGAAGCGTAAGTCTACATGCCTGCCTCTGCTGTGCTTGCCAGCAAATTCTAAAAGTTATTCTTTGATTTAGAGGTCTTTTTGCCATCAAAGACTACCGAGATGCAGTCAACCAAGACGACTTTAACAAAGCTGTCCGAAAAGTGGCCGAAGCAAAGAAGCTCGAAGGCAAGCTCGAGTACCAGAAACTCTGAAGTAGATACCTTTTCCTTTGGCATAATTTAGTGTTCTTGATCATACAACGGCGTTGCCTACGGCCCTGCTACGTAGAAAAACTATGATAGAATGTTCTGTGCCGACCATGATGCTGTATTTCATACTCCACAAAAAGTTCCCTGTCGCCATTTACAAGATGCATCGCTGCAGAGCAAACAGAACAAACATGACTTTGCCAACTGGCGATTTTGTGACGAAATGGGCTTACTGTTCGCTGTAGCGGAAGCACATAATGCAACAAAATACTAAGCAGCAACTCTTGCTATATTGTATCTGCATCTTTTAAACTGATAATGTGGTAATCTGCAACATTCATCTACCGGTACAGCATTTATGCTCCAAAGTTCAACGGCGTCCTAGCTTCCCGTAACAGCGCCGCAAACACGCATGACAATTCAATTGACCAGGGCATTGACGACATGAAGATAGAGCAGATAAATAATTTGTGAGATTGACTGAAGAGAGATATTCAAACCCCATTCTAACCTTATTCCACACAAGGACCTAGTAGCTATAGTACCCGCCACCTAATATTAACCGCTCTGTACGGAGTACGGATCTCCGATTTCATCGACCCCTGTGACACTATTTACTGTTCGTCCGTCCTTACTCACCTTTACTCGGGGTACCTACATCATCGGGTACGTCTGGAATGTCCTTTCAACTCCCCAGCCGCGTCCCTTCCTTCAAGTCTCCGCAGCGAGAAATCGAAGATGATTACTGGCGCGCCGCGACTTCCGCGCGCAAGACGTCGCACAACGCCGGCGGTGGGTTCGAGATCGCGGATAGGATTGGCCAGTTTATGAATCCTAATCGCGAACTGCCAATGTACAAAGACAAGCCGTATTCTGCGGCGAGGAGGGGACCGGGTGGGCTCCCTGGCCATGCGAGATCGAGGAGGCGCAAACAGGTTGTTTGGCTGGGGGTGTTGGTGGCGTTTGCGGTGACAGTTTGGTGGTTGTGGTCCGGAGGGAGAGCGGAGAAGATCATTTCTCGCGGAAAAGAGATGAAGGGAATGCATGGTGGTGAGTTGTGGAAATGGGTGCAAGGGTTTGAGAAAGGCGAGGCCAGGAGGAAAGGAAAGACGGTGGATTGGGCAGAGAGAAGGGAGAGAGTTAAAGATGCGTTTATGGTAAGCTGGGATGGATATGAGAGGTATGCGTGGGGTGAGTTCATGGCGACATGATAGTCATGATTTTGGAAGGATGCTAACCACCTTTTGTTGAGGTCGTGATGAGTATTATCCCATTCGGAAATCCGGCAGAAATATGGTCGATGGTGGAATGGGCTGGATAATAGTTGACGCCCTCGATACCCTCATGATCATGAATCTTACCTCTCGTGTGCAGCAAGCTCGAAATTGGATCCACACGTCACTACGTTATGATCAGGATCATGACGTGAACACCTTTGAGACGACTATCCGTATGCTGGGCGGCTTGCTTTCGGCGCATTATCTGTCTACTACGTATCCTGAGTTGGCACCTATAGCCGACGATGACCCAGGTGCTCCGGGAGAGGATTTATATATCGAAAAAGCCACCGAATTGGCGGATCGGTTGCTGGGTGCGTTCGAGTCTCCTTCAGGAGTGCCCTATGCCAGTTTGAATCTAAACAAATCTGTTGGGATCCTGTCGCACTCCGACAATGGTGCTTCGTCGACTGCAGAGGCGGGTACCGTTCAACTAGAGTTCAAGTACCTTGCAAAATTGACCGGGGAAGCGAACTACTGGGAGAAAGCTGAGAAAGTCATCGAGGTTATTGAAGCAAATGGTAGGGAAGACGGGCTAGTTCCTATATATATCTATGCGGATACTGGCAAGTTTATGGGAGAGAACATTCGTTTAGGGAGCCGGGGTGACTCTTACTACGGTATGTCGATTTCTCGCCTATTCATTTGAATTCTTACTGACAGTAGATCCGCAGAATACCTAATAAAACAGTACCTCCAGACATCGAATGAGGAACCGATATATCTAGAGATGTGGGACGAGACGCTGAACGGCATCCGCAAACATTTACTCACGTACACAAAACACGCCTCTCTGACGATCGTCGGGGAGCGTCCAAATGGTCTACGCCAACCCATTTTGCCCAAAATGGACCATCTTGTCTGTTTTTTGCCGGGTACCATCGCTCTAGGTGCAACTGGCGGCTTGCCGCTCTCAGAGGCTCGGAGGTCAGCTGGTTGGGGACGTAAACAGGAGGAAGAGATGCTACTGGCGAAAGAGCTCATGAAAACCTGTTGGGCAACGTATCTTGCCACTGCAACAGGGCTGGCACCTGAGATCACGTATTTCAAGATCGACGATCCTCCCCGAACGATTAAAGACGTCTATCCGGACTTTGATTTTTCCTTTGGTGGCGGGGAGAAGTCCAAAAAGAAAAAGACGGGCTTGAGAGACGATGCTGATTTGTTCATGAAATCGCATCCACTCTACCCCCTCGACCGTGAAAAATCAATTTGGCTCAAGGATATAACCATTCGTGGCCCTGACCAACATAATCTCCAGCGCCCTGAGACCGTGGAATCCTTATTTTACATGTATCGTATCACAGGCGACGAGACGTACCGATTTTGGGGATGGGAAATGTTCAAGTCATTCATCAAGCACACTGCTGTGGTCGAGGATGAGCCATCTCCTGGAGCGCCTAGCGACGACGCTTCGTACATCCGCGGTTTTACGTCGCTCTCGAATGCGAATACTATCCCACCAGTAAAGAGGGATAATATGGAAAGCTTTTGGTTGGCGGAGACGCTCAAGTACTTCTACCTGTTGTTTTCCGAGAGGGACTTCATCCCCTTGGAAACGACTGTGTTCAATACGGAGGCACATATTTTCCCCAGGTTTAAGATGGGCAAGAATTTCAAGACTGGGTGGAGGAGGAAATTCCCTGTGAATAAAGTTGGCTAAAGGAATTTTGAAGCGGCAAACAGTACCTTCTTGTAAATGTGTCATGGATGATAACGCATGTATGGATTTTATTATGACTCTTTTCTAATACATGTCCGAAATATAGGCTGTCCAAGCATCCTAGAGCTCACACAGGCGTCAAACCATCCGAAATCATAGACTCGCTCTTTTTCATTTCCGTTCGCTTCTCCCGACAGCGGCTCGAATCAGTCTCGCATATCCCTCGACGGCATCTTCCATATCTCCCACACTCAATCCTTCGTTCTCTCCATGCGCCAC